GACAGAGTGTTTGCCAATCTGAGCTATTTGGGCGATCTGTAAGTGATGCGTAGCGCAACGCACTACAAGACTTGCGGTCAATATATACTCATATGAAAATGAAACATAAATTAATTATTTAACTTAAACAAAAATTATTAATTATTATCGTCTTACGTATTGCATTACGTAATTTTGTAGAGATTTGTCTTCAAACGCCATTACATTTCTACCTGACGGAGTGTGTTAGCCAATTCTGAGAAATCTACAGCGGCTGTAAGTGAAACTTAGGCTCACCGCGATGCCAAACATTGCATGGCGTTAATATATACTCATTGAAAAATAAAACATAAATTTAATTAATTATTTAAACTTAAACAAAATTATTTAAATTAAACAAAATTGTTAATTAATATCCGTCTCACGTATTGCATTACCTAATTTTGACAGATATTTGTCTTCAAAACAAACATTACAGTTCTACCTTACAGACGTGTTTGCCAATCTGAAAAATCTAGCGCAATGAGTTGCAAACCTTACATGGGTTAATATATAGTCATTGAAAAATGAAACCTAATAAAATTAAATTTAACTTAAAAGAAAAAACAATATTATTATTGCCAGCGTCATTCCAAACTTAAGGTCATTAGCATAACTTAGCATACACATTATTTAGTATAAAGGTAAATGAAGGAAAACCAGACAACATGGTTTTGATTTGCTTTTATTCGGCTTAGAAACGATGTATAGCATGGTGAAATAGGGTGGATTTTATCCATGGACGTTATGATGTTGAGATAAAACCACCTCAAAATGGTTCAATTTTGTGAGCATTACACCATAAGGGGCCAAACGAAGGGCACAACTCTTTAAAACTTCTCGTATGGGCTTTATATACTTATAAAAAAATGAAAACTAACATACTAGGTAGAGTCATTATTGTCCTTTTCCTTATTGGCAGTTACCTAATTTTCTGCAGAGATTTGTCCTTTTAAACGCACATTTGCATTTCTATCTGACTGTGTTTACCAACACTGTTTTTAAATCTGTGATTATTCTATCCGTGACATGGTGACATGAAACACAGCGCACTGCACTGCAAACCATGGATGGATGTTTTAATATATTTATGAAAATTAAGCAGAATGTCCACAATTCGATATTTAAGAATGTAAAGTGGAGGGAAATGCATCCTCGCTGTGTGTGCTTGCAAAGATGCCTGAAAAAAAATTCGGGGCTTCAACGGGATTTGAAAACCCATGACCTCCGCGTTATCGCCGTGCGATACTCTACCATCTGAGCTACATAAAGCCACACATAGCTTATAGGAGCTTGAAAGAAAATTGTGGTTTATATATATTTCTGATTTTTGCAGGCTCTTAGGCTTGTCTCCGCGCATTGGTTTTGTAGAGGAAAACAATATATCCCCATTCTCGTTCTCCAGATCCTCCGTTTCTTTTGGTCACGTGGTTGGGCGAAACGTAGGCTCTGGTAACGCTGACCAACACCGGATGTCGCTGAAATTCACACGACATCCGGTAGGCGCAATGCCCCAAGATGTATTCAAACGACATATAAATGTTTCAACTGCGCGTGCTCAGTAATAGGACAGGCAAAAGGCTGGGGACGACTCCTTCCTGGAAAGAAGTCGGACGACGAAGTAAAATCGGACTGGCCAGCGGAAAGCAAGTTGAACTTTGGATGACTATATTCGGTTTGAAGACCAACAAATAAATCAGCCCTAGCATGCCGTTTCCTTACAGAAGAAAGATTGACTCTTGGTGTTTTATCAACGGGTGTTGGAACGTCTCGTGTGTCAATTCTGATCGAGGTATTGAGTGCCCAAAATTATAAACATGCTGCTGTTTTTTGGGACGACGTAAATCCGTCGGATGATTGTTCTGTTGAAAACCTGATTTCGATCGTCGTTTTATAGACACTCGATTAGGACCGCTTGTTTGAATGAGGTTGATTTCATCATTAATTCAGTGGTAAGCCTCAAACACTCGGATGTTAATAGAAATCAGAATTAAAAGCTGTTGTTGCTAATTGTTATTGGTGCTGTTATTGTTACCTATTGTTAAAAATTTTGTGTGTAAGCTTATTTACTACTGTTGGTTCCTTTGTATTGCCACATTGATTTCCAAGTACATGCCTTACTCGCAAGATTTATAAATTTTCCTTTCTTAAATTTTAACAGTTAAAGCCAGTAAAAAAGTTTTATCCAAGGGTAACAGGGGTGATGAGAAGTTGATATTTGAACTGCATTTTAACTGAAAGAAAAGTTGACTGCAACTCCCCTGACAATTTTATTTCTAACTTGTTTTTAATATTAAGATTAATTATTCCGATTATTGTAAAGCGCTGTTGATCAGTATATTTAAATAGTGCTATAAAAGTGATTAAATTAAAGAGAATATTAATTAAATTTGCCGACAACCCAAGAAGTCAGATAAAATTTATGTTGACCAAGTTCTTGTTCAAAGTAACAGTAATCAAGGCTGCTATAGACAACATTATAATAATATTGTCTATAGCAGCCTTGATAACTGTTTACTTTGAACAAGAACTTGGTCAACAATCAATTTTATCTGACTTCTTGGGTTGTATGCAAATTTAATTAATCTTCTCTTTGTGCAATACCATGCACAAAATGTACTGTTATGGTCTGGTTAAGAGCTTGATGTTCACTGACTTATGTGGCATGAGTTGTAAGTTCTTTGTTACAGTATAGTGGAACCCTATCTTACGACCACCTCACTAATACGACCACTTTCTTTTGTCCCGAACTAAAATTATAACTAAAATTATGTCAGTAATTTTTTTATTCCGATAATACGACCAGATTTTGGTGGCCTGTCGGTGGTTGGATTAACGGGGTTTACACTGTAATTTGCCTTGGGGTTTGGCATGTATGTGTCAACTGGAGATACAGTGATTCACGGCCCACAAGCTTCTAGCTTTAACACAAACCGTGTATAAAATCAAGTTGATTTATTTATTCACATTCAGTGGGGTGGGTGAAGTTAAGATGGGCATTTCCTTGCTACAAAAGTCAGGGAGTGAAGGTGGGTCTGTTCTTGCTCAAAAAAATTTGAACAAAAAATTTTTCAAGGGAATGGAGAGGGGATAGCTCCCCAGGACCCTCCCTAGGATCTGCCACTAACATTGGTCTCACATACACTGCAACAGTTTTTTCAGCGAAGACATAAATAAATGGAAATTGAACAGTATCAGAAACTGAATTATTTGTATGACATAAGCAACAGTCAACATGCTCTTCAGCCTATTATGTGACAGAATGCTACACAATCTTGCAGGTGTTAGGTACTGGTAAGTCCTGTCCAGTTTTGTACTTCACAAACACTGCAGACTGCAAACAGGTTTGTAAGTGAAATGATTGGAAGCCCGGGGTGGGGGGTACTCTCCTATATAAGCTTATATATGTATGTGCAGTGCCAAAGGGTATGGTTTTTGAGCCGTTTTGGTCCAGAAAATGGGTATAGATTTTGAACATTTTGGTCTCAAATAATGGATATATTCTCCTACTTGTTCTGAAATAGGGCAATCTAAGGGTCAGGTCTTGAAATAGGGTAGGGAAAATTTGCTATTTGCTGCGGTTTCGCAGAATAGCAGCAAATGTACGTTTTCACGGTTCGCCGAAGATTCGACAGTTGTCATGGCAACATCAGAATTGAGGATCGTGTGTTGGCGGGATTTTACTGGGGGAGTCATTCTAGCACTGGCGCTGCTACCAACATGTGCTAATTTTATTTTATTAAGTATTCTGTATACATATCATTTCAGATAGCCTGTCTAAATAGTGCATTAGTGTAGCTTATAACCTCTCTCCCTCGAGGTTCTTATGTGCCTGGCTCTGCATTCGGAAGGGATCAGGTTTCCTCCTAAAGTAAAGGGTTTTTTTCCTGGCGGGCAGCAGGCATACTAGTTTTCTAATGTATTTGTACAGTTGTGTATGCACTTATCTGAAGTTATCAATAAACGGGGGCTGTTCCTCACTAAAGGCTGGGCTACGCAGCTAATCCGGCGCAGCAACCAGTACACCATTTACCAGTGGAAAGTTGTGTTTTATTGATTGATGTAGGGAATAGGGAAAATCACATATTTTGGTCTGAAATAGGGTAAGGGTTTGAAGAAGTGCGCCGCACACCCCCACCCAAATTTTCGGGGAGTACCCTCCCTCCCGGGGATTGGAGGAAGCAAGTGGAGGAGATAAATATACAAGTAAAGATGACAACAACAAAAACAGTCTTTTAATGTTACACTCTATGCAAGAACATGATTGATTATTTATATAATATGAATCATGATTAAAATATGCCAGTTGCTTAATTTTAGAGCAAATGTTGTATACAGCTGTATGATGTTGTTGAAAATATAAAACAACATTGAGAATGAAATTCTCAAACTCATTAATAATTCATCAAGTTAAAACAAAGGAAATTATACCCCCCCCCCCCCCCCCCCCATCTGTTAGAGAGGCTGGTAGGCTTTCAACCACAGAGGCTACCCTGGTATAATAGTGACAGGGAGGTGCAAATGAGGCCAAATTATTGGACCCCCCAAAAGTCCTATTAGGTTAAAAACCAGACACCCAAAAAGTCCAACAGCCCAGAATGTAACCCCAAAAAGTCCCTTTTTTCTCTGAATTTAAAAAATAAATAAATAGAGTTACAGACAGTTTTTGGGTCCACCCTTCTTTATTCGTTCAAGCATATGTATGTCAGACTGCAGTCATTCTTTGAAATTGGGGAACGATACATTTTTGTTCAGGGAAACAACAAACGGAACTCTTGATATGAGAACCGTGGGTTACTCTTTTTGTAATCCCCCACCCCCTCCCCCAAAAAGGTTCTTACCAAAATCTTTCACCCCAAAAAGTCACCACAAACCCCCCTGGGCTCACTAAAATCACTGTTTTTTTCTGGGTTTTAAATTGTGGGGAAGGTGCGGAAGAGGGGGGGAGGGAGTTCTCAAATACAGTGAACTCTCTCTAAGGCAGACACCCTCAGGACCAGCTCTATTCTGCCTAGAGAGGTGTCCACCTTACAGAGAATTCAGTTGAGACAAACAAGTTAAATTTGGCCAGGATAAGCCAGCCAGCCATGTCTGCCTTTGAGAGGTGTCCGCCTTATAGTGGTGTGCGCTTTGAGAGAGTTCACTGTATAACTCAAGATGATTGGGGGGTCTTGAAAAAATATTTAAAATCCAAGGGGGGCAGGGAAATTTTTTTGGGTATTGTTACATTTCCCTCCAGCCCACCCTGTATAACAAATCCAGGCGTAGTCAATCGATAGAAATCGATATCGGAAATCAATCGATACACTCGATATCAATCGATATCAATCGCCGATTGCTATCGATTGATATCGGTAATCGATAACAATCGAACTCACAGAAAAAAAAATTTATCGATTGGCAAAAATCGATAACAATCGATAATAATCGATAATAATCGATAACAATCGATAATCCAAAGGAGTATTTGTTTCAAACATATTACTGAAGATGGCGTGGCTCGTCCAGGCAGAGTGTTCATCGCGTTCACTTGGTTTTCTGGGATTTAAAAGATTTGAACATGTCCATTCATTCGAACCCTTGTTTTATGGCGACGAAAAACACAGAAAACTGCTTCTTCTTTTGCATGTATTGTTCCTGGTCGATATTTATGGAGCCAAAGTGATTACTGCTGTGCTACTGGATTATTTTTTATTTCTTGCTTACTCTGTGATTTTATTCTTACGTTTCTTTTTTAATGCGACTAATTAAAATCACAAAAACACTGATTTGTTGTTTATTCTGCTTCATCTTTATGGCGTTGCTATAACAAGACTAGAGGTTGCACGCCGCTACTTTGCACACCGCAACTTCTTCTTCCGGTATTATGAACTGCGCTGAAGATCGATAAAAAGACCAAATTGTTCCTGTTATTGTTCCTATAAGTATTTTGTTGATTGTTAAACTATTGCATGCTATGCTATGATGATTGAATGACTCAATAAAACCATACAGACAACATTGTGTCAATGATTAACTTGTAAAATGACAAAAAATCATTTCCGATAACAATCGATAACAATTGATAAATTAATGGCTCCGTCAATTCCAAGCCCGCTCATCCCCCCCCCCCCCCCCCCCCCCGGGCATTTGTCATTTTTTGTCAGAAGGTTGAAAATGCCCCACGGTGGGGTCAGCTTACATGCACAAAATCCCCACGGTGGGGCTTCAGGAGCAGTGCAAATGCCCGACCCATGGGACAAGTTCAAAAACTTTTTTGAGAGGATCAAGGAAT